GATATTACAGAAATCGTATGTCCTGAACATGTTTCATTCAATGTCGGTTGAGATTACTCCTTATGAGATGTGGAAAGGGAGCAAACCCTGTTTCTCACAGTTTCGAATATGGAATAGCCCTATACACGTGTTAGTGCAGGAAGCTGGCAAGTTGGAGAAACGTTTGGAAGCACGAGTATTGGTTGGCTATCCCAAGGGAACGAAAGGTGGATTATTTAATAGTCCTGGGGATCAGAAGGTGATCATTGGCACGAATGCTAGATTCTTGGAAGAAGACAATATTATGGATCACAAGCCCGCGAGTAGTCTAGTCCTAGAGGAGTTGAGGGGTGAAGACGAAAGTTCACCACCGAGTGCGCAAGTAGATACATCACATAATACTGAAACACGACACACTGAGAGTGTACCAGTGCAGACAATACCTTATCGTAGTAAGAGAATTTCTCATTTACCCGACTGATGGATAGGTCTTGGAGAGTCTTCGGGCTCAGTTCCAGAAAACCTAGAATCGGACCCAAGGACCTACAGCGAGGCACTCCAAGATAAAGATGCAAATTCATGGAATGTTGCAATGAAAGCTAAAATGGGGTCAATGGACTCTAATCAGGTCTGAGATCTTGTAGAACCACCCGATCGGGTATGACCCATTGGAAGTAACTGGATCAATAAGAGAAAGAGAGGATCATATGAGAAGGTGCAAACCTTCAAAGCTAGGCTTATTGTGAAAGGTTATACAAATATTGAGGGTATAAACTATGATGAGACCTTTTCGTCAGTAGCTATGCTTAAGTCCATTCAGATTCTCTTGGCTGTAGCCGCTCATATGGAATATGAGGTCTGACAGATGGATGTCAAGACGTCTTTCCTTAACGAAAACCTTCAGGAGGACATCAATATGCAACAACCAGAGGGTTTCATTGCCAAGGGACATGAGCATCTATTGCGTAAGCTTAATCGGTCTATCTATGGACTGAAGCAAGCTTCGAGATCTTGGAACATCCGGTTCAATGAGGTGATCCAGTCGTATGGGTCACTCAATGTTTGGATGGGCACTATATGTACAAAAAAATCAATGAGAGCGTGGTGGTGTTTCTTGTGCTTTACGTAGATGACATACTGCTTACTAGAAACAATAAGGAGGAGTTTTTAGACGTAAAGGTGTGGTTTTCTAAGTAGTTTGATATGAAGGACTTAGGTGAAGCAGGACACATTCTTGGTATTGAGGTCATTCGAGACCGTAAGAAGAGAATGTTGTGCTTATCCCAGTCTTCATACATAGATACCATCTTGGCTAGATTCAGCATGCAGGATTCCAATAAAGGTACTTTACCTTTCAGGAAAAGAATACCTCTGTCCAAGGAGATGTCTCCAAAGACGTCTCAAGAGATTGAGGACATGAAAACAATTCCTTATGCTTCGGCAGTATGAAGTCTCATGTATGCTATGCTGTGTACCAGGCCAAATATTAGTTGTGCTGTTGGCTTAGTAGCTTGATATTAATGTAATCCAGGACGGGAACATTTGTCTGCGGTGAACCATATACTCAAGTGCCTGAGAAGGACTAAGGAGTACATGTTAGTTTACCATGCAGACAGCTTGTTACCTCTGAGTTACAGTGATTCTTATTTCCAGTTAAACGGGGACGAGAGTAAGTCAACCTCATGTTTGTGTTCACCTTGAGGTGGAGACATTTCATGGAGGAGTGCTAAGCAGATATGCGTGGCAGACTCCACCATGAAAGCCGAGTACATGGCAGCCTCAGAGGCAGCGAAAGAGGCAGTTTGGCTCAGAAACTTCTTAGTGTACTTAGAGGTGATTCCGAGTTTGCCACGTGGTATCACCGTGTACGGTTATAACAGTGAAACAATAGCACACTCAAGGTAACCACAAGCCCACAGAGAAAGCAAACACATAGAGCGCAAATACCATCTGATCCGAGAGATAATTGGTAGATGAGACATTGATGTTGCCAAGATTGTATTAGAGGACAACCTAGCTGATTCCTTCATGAAGAGTTTGTCGGAGAAGTTCTTCGTCAAAACGTGGAAGGAATGGAAGTCATGTCCACGGCGATAAGATTGACATAGGTCTTTTAAAATAACAGATTGATATGACTATACTTGTAAAAGAGAAAACTTTAAGTATAAGTGGGAGATTGTTAGTGTTATGTACTGAAAGCTTGGGTTTGGATGATATTACACTTTTACCCTTTATGAATGAGAATCATGTTAGATTAAACAAGTTCTATGTTCTATTGTTTTACACTTAGATAGAGTGGGACGTCATCGGACGAACCGAAGATCATTTTATCAGTTATTTGCGAAACAAGAATTATGTTTCACAACCTAGATGGACATGAACACCCCATCTGAACAGTTGTAGTGTCAACGGTACAGTTTGTCCTGACAGATTAGTCGCCCTAGTACATTACGTATTGAACAGGATCCCAGAGAGGAGAAGTTCATTTTATACTGATCGTCGTAAACGAACTAGGCCTCGATTAATTACTGCGTTCTCTTAACCCGTATTATATTAAATAGACATATATATGCAATATATATTATTTTGATTCACATGGGTGAGGTTTAGTGAACTGGATCAATAGACCCACTGTCTTGGGTAATATTGATGCATGTATGATGTGTTGTTAGGATATTTACTGTCACCCTGTATGTTTACTTTGATGATGTCCCCGAAGTGAGTTCATGAAGGATGATTATGCTAAACCCTGCAGGTGGATTAAATTACGGCATAGCATGACGAGCGCCAACTTCGGTAAAATAAAAATTAATTAATTAATTCTTGATTATTAGTAATCGAATCAATTAATCAACATTATATCTTCAACATTAAGAGATAATTTGAGTAATTATTATTGGAGTCTCAATTGTAAATTGGGCTAGGAAAAGGGAGTGTAATAATATTATGTTGGTGGCCCATAATATTATCTAATTAATTAGAATAGTGGGTTTGGCCCACAAATATTTTAATTAATTAAGGTGCCATATTCCTATTCTTCTAAGGGTCCCTACTATAGCTCTATATAAACATCATTAAGCTCTTGAGAAGAGGAGAAGAATTCCACAATTATTCAAGCCATACACGCCGCCCCTCATCTCCCTCTAGATCTCATTCGAGCTTCATCTTCTTATATTGCTCCACTAGTACATTTTGAAGAGGGCGTTTGAAATATACAGTAGAAGATCATGTGGTTCGCCAGCCCGCCGTGAACCAGCCGGATTGAAGCTGCTAGCCATCCACGCCCGACGTGAGCCGCACGAGCCACCGCTGCAGCCCGCGACACTCTCCGCGACTCGCACGAGCCACCCACGACCTGCGATCCGACACGGCCGATTCGATCAGCTTGATCCACACGACCCGATTGCCAGCTCGACATTCCATTCATGATCCAATACCGTTCGTGTGTTCATCCCAGTCAATCCTATTTGAAAATCAACGAGATCGCCAAAAATTTTAAGCCGTAAGTTTTCTACGTCAAACCTTTAGATCCGCTGCGCATAGGTTTACATTTGCTATTGAATTCGTGATTTGCACATAACGAGATCCTCACAGATCCCAACACAAAAGTCATAGCCAGTCAGTTAAGCGAAAGTTATAGACAACCAGTTATGCAACAACTATATATAGTTTGCCGATATTAGTATTTATTGAATGAATGTTTAGTCCGTTGGAAAAATGTTCATCATCATATTGTTTCTGCTGACCCAGTAAGTACTTGCATATATACCGATATCATGATATGTTACTATATTAGTTGTATATTTCAGTGCCTGTTCTGGAAGAGCATCCTTAATTCATTTATGCTTACGCCCCCACTAACCATTTTTTAGGTGACGGTGTTGAGCGTGGAGCGTGAGCCGATGATGTGGTGGTGGTCATATCAAGGATATTTTTGAGTACACATGTCATGTATATTAGAATATGTTTGAGTTATTATGTTTTGTTGATGCATGCTTGCGTTTGCTTCTGCACTCAGCATTTCAGTATCTAGAATTTCAGACTACGCATGCTTAAATCCTGAGATGTTCATGGTGCCTTATTAGAGCAATGAATTATACTCGGTTTCATGCCTAGTTGTTTAACGATGTTAAAAATTAAATATTTGAGATTATACTTGAGTAGCATCCCGTAAATTAATGTATTTTCAAAAAATTAATATGAATTTTCAAAAATTAAATCAGAGCTTTCCTTTTATAGCACGAAAAATTTACTCAGATTTTAGCAAGTTTATGCGGGGTGTTACACCTTTAGGTTGCGAACAACATTTTCTGATTTGGTGCAGGTTAGAAATATTGTAAATTATTATTAAACATGGAATCTTTTGTATTTTCTTTTATATTAATTTGCATTCTAAAATCTTCTTTAAGTTTTTAATTTCGTGGTATGACTATTTTTTGCATGAATGTCAAATTCTCCCTTTGGGAACCCGAATTATCCCTTTGGGAATCCTAATGATCACAAGTGGGATCTTTAATTCTTCACTGTCTTCTTCTCTCGGCAACTAAATTTATTATTGCGGTATTCTTAGAGTCTTTCTCATGGCATCAAGCAGTAACATGAGGAAGGATCAAAGCTCTGAAGTAGATTTGGAGCAAAAATTAAAAAATTTCTCTTTATCAAAGGCAGAAAAATCGATTGTGGATATTGCACAAGATGACATCAAAGTGAGTAAATCAGAATGTCAAAAAAGTTTTTTGGCAAAATTGTAGGAGATAGAGCAACGAGCCTTTTTGGTGTCAAACGAACAATGGGTCACATT